AAAAAAAAAAAGATCTCATATACAACTTCAGGTTTATTTTCAGTTTTAAGAGAAGTCTAGACATGATTGATTGTTCCATCAAGGGGGGCATGCCACTCAGCAGAAGAAGTGTCACTTAAAAAATGGCCACTAATTTTACTTCTTTCAAAATGGTTAGCTGGGGTGGTAACATACACCTATAATTCCAACACTTGAGAGGCTAAGACAGGGGGATCACGTCAAGTTCAAGGCCAGCCTAGGCTACAAGGTGAGTTCAAGGCCAGCCTGAACTGCACTGTGAAACCCTATCTCAGACAACGAAACAAAATCCAGTGGCCACAGAGTTGTCCTTTCCTGTCCTCTCACCCCACTCTCAGCCAAGCACAAGCATCTGCACACCAGCACAGTGTCCAGTACTGTGGGAATGCACCTCAGTCCATGAGGCACAGGGAAGCTGGCCTATGCATGGGGAATAGTTTCAACACACAGCGTCCACTTGTCCTACCTGTCATAAGCTTCCTTGAGGTCTCTGGCCAGCTTGCACTTGGGCAGGATGTGATGGAATGGAGACTGAGGACCTTCATTTGCTGTAAGAATCACAACACAGGATTTAGAACTTCCAAGGAAAAGAAACTTTCAAATGCTAGAAAAGGGAACACATTTAAAACAAATTCAACCTCAAAAATTTTGACACCAGGGGGCTGGTGAGATGGCTCAGTAGTCTAAAGCATCTACTTAGAACAAGCTTGGCAAGGCACAGGGACCACGGTTCAATCCCCCAGCACCACATGCCAGCCAGCGCCCCCCCCTGGTGGGCTGAGCTGGCCACACACACACACACACACACACACACACACACACACAAATAAAATTAAAAAAAAAAATTTTTTTGACACCAGGGTTCAATCCTTGGTGTGCAGTGCCAGCTCTGTCCCTGAGACACACTGAGACAGTGACTAAGACTGGGCATGGTGGCACATGCCTGTAATCCCAATGCTTGGGAAACTGAAAACAAGAGGATCACTGTGAGTCCAATCTGTATAGTAAGACCCTGTAGAACCTGTACTAAAAAACATTAAAAAAAAAAAAAAAAGAATTGACAGCTCCAACTAAGCAACATGAAACTCCTACTTCTTTTCATAAAAGTTGTGCATTTCCAAGTGTGGTGGCATGTGCCTATAATCCCAGTACTCTGAGAGGATAAGGCAGGAGGATACCATATTCCAGCCTAGCCTGAGTCCTTGCCTCAAACATGACAAAATAGGCATATGCTAACTCCTGGAAAAGTTTTGGTGTTGTTGTTTTTTTTTTAATTTGTGTAACAACTGCTGTTTTCATTTTTTACTTTGTCTACAAAAACTAGACGACTTCAGTTCTATTTAGTCTCCCTTCTGTATGGAGCGCTAACTTCAGGAAATGGTGGTACAGTATCAGTGTCCTTCCATACTAAAGCACCTTCAGGTATCCCAGAAGTTACACTGTGATCTATCAGCAAAATTATTTTTATAATTGGTTAGTTGATAACTCTGGTAACTCTGTTTTCAACATGGCAAAAAGAACGGAAACTACCTACCTTACCATTTGGACTTTCTTCCTGCACCAGGGCAAAGTATCTAGCAGGCCCATAGCCATGCTAGATACATGTAGGGTGATCATGTGGGGAAGAAGTATTTTCACTGGGAAATCAATGTAGCCACATCCACTCAGGAACATGGATCAACATGGGCCCTTTGGGAAGTTTTCCTGTGAACCCAGGCCATGATCAGCCCAATCTGAAGACCACGTTACTTCTCTGAGCTACTGTTCTCACATGTGCAAAATGGGGACTGCCCTTGACTTACAAGACTGTTTTGAGGATTTCCTCTTTAACAGTGCACCAAAAGCTATAGTTAGCTTCTGATTGCTTTGTTGGTGTAGGTTGGGACAGTCCCTACCAACATTTACACTGCTGACACTGATTAGTAGCCCCTCTGGAAATGCCTGCAGTAAAGAGACCATCAGGCAGCTCACACTCATGATTATGCCTGCCACACTCACCTTCGGCCATAGCAGACACCTCATCCTGTAGTGCAAGGATCAACTTGGCCTCTCGGGTGAGGTACTGGCAGCGGCGCTCCTCATGTTGCAGCACAGTGGCAATGCGCCGGGATAGGTTGTGCAGACAGTTTATCACAGATGGGTCCGCATTAGCCTGCAGGAGAGAGGCCACACTGACTTTAACGTGCATATTGGTGTAGTTTAAAACACCGTAATACATGTCCACAGCAAAAATTTAAACCACAAAAGAAAACTCCACTCCTCTTCTCTAAGCTGCTCTCCAGGGGCCACTACTATGCAAGATTTTTTTTTTTAAAAATATTTATTTTATTTCTTACAATACCAGGGATTGAACTAAGGACCTTTTATTTGCCAGGCATGCACTTAAGCCCCTGAGCTCTCGCCCCAGCCCAAGATTTTTTTTTTTCCCCATAATGTTAAAAACATTTTATTGGGCCGGGGAGATGGCTCAGTAGAATAAGCACTTCTCTGGCAAGCACAAGGGTCTGAGTTCAATCCCTGGTTCCACAAAAAAACCCCACAACATTTTATTGGCTTATAGACACCAAAAAATACACGCAAATTTGATGAGTTTTCTCAAACTGAACATACTGGTATCCACATCAAGAAATGGAACATCAGGCTGGGGAGATGGCTCAGTGGAATAAGCACTTCCCTGGCAAGCGCAAGGACCTGAGTTCAATCCCCGGTTCCACGAAAAA